GGCGGAAAAGGCCCTTGGTGTTTGAGCCCTGGGCACAGCTCAGTTAACAGTCAGAGCATTGAACCATGAAAACAGGACAGCAGCTTGGAGCATCCCCTTTGTCACCACCCTGCTGGCATCTCCCCCTCCCTGTCACCACACCTCCCAGCAGCTTTGGAGGAAGTTTGGATTTTCTACTCTAAAAGCACTTTCTCTCCGGTGTAACACGAAACGTCTCCTTCGCTCTGTGGGGACCCCCCACTAAACAGGCAGCTCTGTTCCCCTGCCTGTCCAAACTCAGAAGCGACAGAAAGGACCCACCTCTAATTTCCCATCAATATCTTGGACTTGGATCAAAGACCTGCTGTGGAAAAAGAGATCTGAAAGTGGTAATTGTGTGAAAAATGCCTTGCAGTGTGAGGCTGTAACACAAACCCTTTGCTGCCGGAGAGCTACCGAATTCCCAGGAACAAGCCTGCCTTTGGCTCCAATCCACATACTTCCAGTCTCCTGCCCCAGGCTCTGTTTCCCCCTGGGCTGGCCTGTGTGAGGGAATTGAAGTGATTAACCCTTGGTTTGTCTCATTATCACACTTGCCACGGGGTGTTTGTGCCATACCTAATCAGGGGTAACAGGAGCTCAGTTAAAATGGGGTGAGGGTTTGCTCCCACCTCACTAGGACTCTGCTCAGGGGTTCCCCCCTTCCCTTGTGTGAATCCTGAAAGCACAGGACACATCAGTTCACTGAGACAACACAAAAAAATCCCTTTAATTTCTTTCTTGGGATAGATTTCTATCAGAGAAGTCAACTGATCTACCCCAACCAGCAATGCAAAGACATCAGCAGAAACCCACGTCCAGGATGGAGAAAGAACAGGCCTGATAAACTGGAAGTTTTATATGTCTATACCTTCCCCATCAACCCTCTGTGCCCTGGTCAGATTTGGACATCAGGCATTCAGGAGGCAGCACTGGTTGGTGTGTGCTGGGCACAGGCACAGCCTGTGAAATTCAGGGCTGGAAAATGAGGGCACACGGTGCTCTGGAAGGTCACACACCAGGGAGCCACGAGGTCCAGGAGAAGAAAGGAAAAAAAGGAAGGGAAAAGCACTCAGGATGAAAACAGGAGGGGGAAAAGCAGAATAAATCAAACAATCAGCCAAGGTGTGGGGAGCAAACTATTCTCCCTTCACTATTCCTGGTGGACTGCAGCTTAATGCAACACCACTTTTTATTGCAGAGGGATAGCAGTGATTACAGGAGTCTGTGTTAAAGCAGTGCTGCTCATCCAGTGTCTGGGAAGACAAAAATAAGACAAAGCCCCAGCTGTGAGAAGCCCTTTTTCCCTCACAGCCCATGCATGACACTTCTGACATGGGGCAGAGGTGATGGTTCAGCCTGTTAATGACCTTCAACAAGCACTTCAGCCCCTTCATGCCTCAGTTTCCCTCTCACTGAGTAGTCAGGTCGTGTAACTGGGCTTCAGGAGAAAAGCTCTGAGGATTCCCAGAGATGTACAGAATTCACTCCTGGTGTCTTCAGGCCTCATCTGGGTGACCATACCCGCACTCCAATTGGCACAGGGACATCCTCTGTGATCCATGGAGCTTGGGATGTGGTTCCCCCGGTCATTTGCAGGCATTTACTCCCAAAGTTTGCACAGGTGGGCCATGAAGACCCTGCCTAGATCCTAAAAAGGAAACCCCTGGAGTAAGTCCTTCCTGCCAACATCACCAGTGAGCTCTGCAGGCCCCAGTGGTTTTGAAGAGGACCCTGAGCCTGAAACAGTGGGGTGAAGGAATACCAAGCTGGAGCGAGAGGTGGGGGACAGTGCCTGGTTGTGTTGTCCCCAAACAGGGACAGCTGTATTTGCTTCCCTTCTTGGCACAGCAACAAGGCAGGCGTGGGGTGGGCATGGCTGACTCCCCTGGAGATCTCTGACCCCCCTGGATGTCTGCAGCAGGTTGGAAGCAGGGCAGAGAGGAGGGGATGCCATAGCAATGGAGAGGGGGTTACCATAGCAATGGAGTAAGGCAGGACTCCAGCTGCTCCCGGTGGTGGATGGAGGCTCCTGAGCACCCTCAGGGCAGTGGAGACACAGAGACCTCAGGAATCAGGTGAGGGAAGGACAGACCCATCTCAGTCAACACTGCAGCTCCCTGGAGCTGGTGATTCCCTTTCAGGGAGGCTGCACATCAGTCATTCCTTTCTCCATGCCAGAATGGCCTCACTCAAGAAAGGAGCTGCTGTGCTGTGTGTGAGCTTTGGTCAGCTGGGATTTTCCTCACCCTGGGGTCCTCCCTTCCCCCACAGCCCTCTACCAGCACAGCTCCATCCTGCTGCTCTGCACAAGGGTCCCACAAAGATGCACAGCAAGTTGCTCCCCCAGCCATCCCAACCCCTTCCTGTAGCACCCAAAATCTGCTCCTGCAGGAAACTGATCTGGTTCCCAAATGCCTTTCTCAGCTGTCCCAAAGTGACCTTCAGATTTCCTCCCTGCAAAGAATCCAGCAGCATGAAGATCTGCCTGATTCTGAAGCCAGGACACACTCCAGGGCTGAAATTGGAGCTGTCAGGATCAGATGTTCCCTGCCTGCTCAGGATGGTCAGGACAGGATGGAAGAGGCTTTGCTCCTACAAGGCTGGAGGAACCACGGCAAAGACCCCAGTGAGTGCCACTGGACACAGTGCCCATGGAGACCTCCTGGATGCATTTATGTGGGCTGTGAGCTTGTCCCTTCCTCCATGGGCAAGTGATGGCACTGGTGTGACCAAGCTGGACATCACAAGCATGGAGTGTCTGGTGACTCTGCCTTCAAGGCCTCCTTGCTGGGCTGCCCACGCTGGCTGTGTCCCTTCACACACCCCCACAGACCTGACTTCCAGCCTAACACAGGACAAAAGCCCAGTTAGGAGACCAAGATTCTGTGCCCAGATTGATCCCCCATCAGGGGGCTCAGATAAGGGTAAAGCGCCCACCTGATCCAGTACCCAGGGATCCTGGATACACCTGGATGTTGCTGTTTGCCTACTGCCAGGAACAACCTCCTGGAAGACCCTCCAGACAGTTTGGATGCTGCTTCAGCCCTTTGGATATGGACATGGCATTCACAGATACATGCGGAAAGAGGGAAAAAGTGGGGCTTTCCATTCATGTATGACCTGGAGCAGGATGAGGGTTTGCCCCAGAACATCCTTCTGCCCAAATGGCCTCCAGAAAGGCCCCTAAATACTGCAAGGAAGGGATGAGGGGAGAGCAGGGAGTGCTGCAGAAAACCCATCAGCCTGGCAAGAGGAGTGAGAAAAGAGCTCAGAGATGGTTGCCCCATCCCTAGAAGTGTCCAAAGCCAGGCTGGACAGGGCTTGGAGCAACCTGGGTGTCCCTGCCCATGGGGATTGGAACAAGATGAGCTTTAAAGTCCCTTCCAACCCAAACCATTCTGTGATTCTCTGAGATCAGAGGGGACCAGTTTGCACTCCCTGCCCTAAGGCATCTCTCCCTGGCTGATTTCCAGCATCACTAGTAGAGTCAGAACCTGTTTCAATAAACACATCTGTACCTTCCTGCCTGACTACATCCCATCCCTCCTGGGTCCCCCGCACAAAATCCAGCAGGCTCCTTGCGAGGAAGCAGCACTGAGATTGATGCCTGCTTCAGATGGACCCCCTGCAGCTCCATTTTCAGACCAGCTCAACACCCCTCCATCGGGCAGGAGCTGTGTGGAAATCCTGCACGAAGAAATATTTGGCATTCCAGCAAACCAGTCTTCCAGCGAGTGGGAAGTATTTGCAGACTGGGAAGCTGGACGGGGTCAATGCTCTCAACCCATCATCCCAAACCATGTATGATTCCTCTTAGGAGGAATGGGATTAAGCAGAACATCAAAGGCAAGTTTACAAGCTTCTGGTGAAGTCACCACGTCCACCCTCGTCATCTTCTGATGAAAACTGTTGAGGCAAAGGGAACCACGGATTATGGGCAAGGGTTTCTTCTGCACACACTGCCCCGGGGTCCTTGCAGGTTTGGGGATTTAATCTCGGAGGTGGCATGCCTAACCCATTCCCAGAGACGCCCCCAAAGGACTTCTGGCTTGGCACAGCCAGTTATTCCCTTGTTTTCCCTGCTGCCACCCCAAGCACAGCCGCGTTTCAGCGAGGAGAGGCGGGGACCTCTGTGCCCGTGCGACCAGGGTAATGAAAAGGGCTGGGATTCCTTGGGAACGAGCCAGGGCAGGCTGAGAAATGCTCTCTTCCCAGGAGACCAGCCCAAGGAGCTATTTTTTTTCCCCTAAATGCAGCGTGGAAGGGTGTGTTTTCAGTGAAAAAAAAAAAACAAAAAACAAAACAAAACAAAACAAAAACAACCACAAAAAAAAAAAAAAAAAACCAAAAAAAACCCAACAAAACAAACCACCAACCTTTTTTCGGCTTTGCTGAGCTCCATCTGCCCCGCACCGAGTTCACCCCCTGCAGAGACAAGCCCCAGGGCCAGTTCCCATCCGAGACCCCCAGGCTCCAAGTTAACGGGATCAGGGGAGCGGGGTCAGCCCCCCGGCGACCTCCTAATCCCCTTTACATGCCCCCTGTCCCATCCAATTACCCGCCTTGGCAGCTTCCCGAGCCATGACCAGACAACCTCTGTCCTTAACCTGTCTTCTCCCAGTGCTGAGCTGGGTATTTAAATATCATTTAAGATGAGCTGGTTGCAAACAGATCCCCCCTCCTCTTGTCCTCCCGGAATCTGAGGCTGCTTATTTTTATTTTTGGTTTTGTTTTGTTGTGGGGTTTTTTGTTTGTTTGTTTATTGCTTTGGGTTTTGTTTTGTTGTGTTTTTTTTTTCCTTTTTCCCCTGCGGTGTCTCTGCTACATTTTGCAAACACCTAATGGCTCCAGGGCTGTTGCAAGCACAGAGCCCGGGGGAAGCCGGATTCCTCCCGTTCTCCTTTATTTTTGTGTCGTATAGATGCCCCCACGACGGATGGGAGGGACCTGTAATGGGCATTTCAAAGCAGAGGGGCCCTGAGATGCGAACAGCAGCAACAGCTCCCGTATGCTGAAATGATGGCTGGCACGGAGGAAACCCACAGCAGCCAAAACAGGCTTGTTCCCGCTGGAAAGAGGGAATTCCTCGGATACAGGGGACGAGCAGACAAAGCCAAAGGAATCAGCTGGACACGGCTCCTCGCTGGAAGCAAGGAACTTGCTTTCCACCCGTTTCACCCTCCCTCCACTGAGGACCCCGATGCAGGAAAGCTCCGAAGGGTGCAGCACTACGGAATAACGCGGGGAGCATCACAGGAAAACAGGGAGGGGTGTCCGTAGGGAGGGAGAGGTGCCAGCCTGCACGGACCGGGGAGGGTCCAGGCTGTAGGATGAGGATGGTGTGGGTGCCTGGGTGAGCATCACACCGGGGAATTTTGGCTGGGCTTGCACAAACGCTCGCGCTGGGAGGGGTGTGGGCTGCTGCTATTATTGTAGCAATTAGCCCCAAGCTGTTGGAAAGGGCTCTGAAGTAGTTCTGGCTGGTTTGTAGTGGTTTGGTGTTTTTTTTTTCTCCCCCTCGGTGTAAACCTGAGCTGCAAGGGCCAGACCTGAGCAGGTGGAAACCTGCTCTGCTCAGCACACAGCGCCTGCTTCAAAAATCCGAGGTAGCTACGCCCTGCGAGGCCACCGCGCTCATCCCACCATGTCTGCTCTGCACAAGCCCCCGAGTCCTTCCCAGGGCTCCTGCAAATCCCAGGGAGGGGGCAGAGGGAGCAACAGGTGATCGTCCCGAAACCTGGCCAGGCTCTTCCCTCTTACATCTCCTCCAGTGTAGGAAAATCCCGCTGGAGGGGGTGGGTGCCCCCACACCACTCCCCGATAAGAACAAAATCCACAAATCTCGTTGGAAAGAAGGACTGAATCCCACCCTGTACCAGTCAATGGGGAGCAGCCGTGCTGGCCATCTCCAGGGAATCTCGGCAGGCAGGAGATTGTGGCTGGGGTGGAGGGGACACGCATTGCAAGCCCCCAGCCCCACCACATCACTGCCAGCACGACAGACCCCAGCGCTGAACTTCACGGTGGGGTCTCCATCGCCCCTCAGGGACGTGGTCCCTGCTGCTGCCCCTTTCCGTGGAGCTCAAAGAGCCAGGGCATCTCCTCCAGCACCGGGCATCTCTCCCACAGCCCCCGTCCCGAGGGCAGGGGGTGTCCCCGGGCTGGCTGTGTCCCCCCACCACGGCCAAGCCAACACGAGCAACAAACTTACCGGTGCCGGGCTCAGAGGGAGGATCGCACGGACATCTTGGCTCCCTCCTTCCACCTCGGGGCTCCAACTTGGGGTTTGCAGAGCGGTGTCACCAGTGCCTCTAGGAGTCTGTCTCATCCTCCTCTCTGCCTCGCTTCAGAAATCCGTGTGTGCTGTGGTTGGATTTTTTTTTTTTTTTCATTTAAGGGACTTTTTTTTTTTCCAGCGGTTGCGTCAGGCCTGTTGCCTGGAGACAGGCGAGCTATTCCAGTTTGAGCTTTTCAGTCCAGATTTCCTCTCTCTCTCTCTCTTTCATTCATACCACCGAGCCCTGAACCTACCTCCCACCCAGCAATAACCCTGGAGAGACCTGAAAGGGAGGAGCTGCACAGCCTGGGTCCTAAACATCCTCCGGCACCCAGGCGAGGGAGGAGGAGCAGCGATGCCTTGGGCGTGGGTAACGGGGTTGAAGTGGTCCAGCGGAGAGCGGGGACCCTCAAGGCTTGCAGGAGATGCCCGGAGAGCTGATGTACTCCCAGAGGAGTCTGTGGCTCTTCCCGACACCGACCGGGCTGGTGTCCCTGCGCTGTTCCTATTTCACACCACGGATATCAGCCCTTCGAGGAGCTTGGGGTCCTCTGGCACCCGGGATAACGTTTTCCAGATGCCACGGCTTGCCCGGGGTCAGTGCATGTGCGGAGGGGAGTTTTGCAAGGATGCATCAGCATCTCTGGGAAGCCCTGGGGTGGTACCTTGGGTACTGTACTCAGTAACAGCTCGCTGGAACCATCCAACCCTGGTCAGAAACCAACTTGGAAACCAGCCTTTGCCTGAATTTTGTACTGGGAAAGCTCCTGTTGCTTCCACAGCTGCCCCAGTGGGACTAGAAACCATTTTAGCTGCTTTCAAGGAGGGACTGATAGAGGCAGTGCCCAGGCTGCTGGCTGAGCTGGGGCCAGGAGCAAAGGCAGGGGACAGAAGGGCTTTCCTTCCTTCTCCAGAAGCTGAAGTTTAACCCCTCAAAGCCTGGGGACAGCTCTCAAAATCATCCCACACATCCCTCTCCACATTCAGCTACTGCACACACATGTGGTGGCTCAGAGCCACTGGAGGTGTTTACAAACCTGATGGTGCAAAGCATTAAGTGTTGGCCATCGACCCCCATCCATCCAGGCACCTTCCCACATTTCCACACTCAGCTTTTGTGAGAGAAACCCTTTCACAGCCTTCTTGTGCTTTAACCATCCCTCCTCCCTCCATGGGCAACTGGGAGAGATTTATAGCCCTTTCCTGAGCTCTGCATGGTAGGCCTGGGATTTCCCACCTCCCTCCAAATGCCAGCCATGCTGAGGATACCCCCAACCCCCCAGTAATTTAGAGGCTGTGCTTTTACAGCACCAAGCGCATGGGGAGCGGGTGCCCTGGGTGCAGCAATGCAGATTCAAAGCGTGAAGAGCAGCACTTTCACATTTCTGATGAAAATGCAATTTTAAAACACTTTTTTTTTGTTGTTTTGCTTTGCCAGCACCCTTTTTTTTTTTTTGTCAGATTTCAGATCTGCATATGCAAACTCAGCCTGGTGATCAGCTCTGGTTGTGCTGCAGGCAGGCACCTGACTGCTGCTGCTGATGGAGAGGGACGAGGGAGATGGAAGAGCTGTTCCATTCATGCTGGAACCACCTGACACAGACCTGCAGCTGCACTGAAGCTCTGAGCAGCAAAGAGAATCACAGAATCACAGCATGGGTCAGGTTGGAAGGCACCACAGTGGCTCATCTGGTCCCAACTCCCTGCTCAAGCAGGGCCATCCCAGAGCACTTGGCACAGGATTGTGTCCAGATGGTTCTGGAATATCTCCAGTGAGGGAGACTCCACACCCTCCCTGGAAAACTTGTTCCAGTGCTCAGTCACTGCACAGCAAAGAAGTTCTTCTTCATATTCAGGTGGAACTTCCTGGGAACCAGTTTTTGCCTGTGGCCTCTTGTCCCTTTGCTGGGCAACCCTGAGCAGAGCCTGGTCCATCCAACAGGTGCTGGTTGAACATTCCCTGGAATATCTCACCCAAACCAAAACTGGATCTGTGACAATGACCCAAACAGCACCAGGGAACAGACAGGGGCACAGGACCCTGGTGAAACACAGCACCTGGTTTGGTTCTGAAGTAGGATGAGCAGTTCCAGGACATGGCTCAGGAATGAGCAAGGCTGGGGCCCCTTCCTGACAAACAAGTGGGATTCAGCCAGCCAGATTTGATAGCCAAGAGTGTTTAATCACACAGACGTGGCCAGACAGGGTCAGTTGGCCTCAGGGCCAGAGACCAGGCCTAGCATGGGTTAGTTTACCAGCAGAGGTGTCACTCCTGAGGCTTGACATCTGTCTCCTCGCAGGAACAGACCACACACTGTGACCCCCTCCCTCTTCTGTAAATGTTTATTTTTAATTTAGTGGTGTAATGGATTTCAAACGAGCTGCCATAAGACATCAGTGAAAGGCTGCAGCCAGGTCCCTCTGAAGTCTCTCTGTGGGTTTTGAAAGTTTTCTGGCCTGAATTTATCTTGGTTAAGTTGTATTCCTCCAAAAAAAACCTGCTGTGGTGGGGAGCTGCTGAAGAGCAGTGCTGCTCGCACTGACGAGGCTCTAACCCCAGCCACCTGCAGTGGGCACCTGAGATTAGGTGGGATGAGTCAAAATGAGCCTGTGCAACACCAGCACTGTGCAGACCTATGGCTCAGAATTGTTTTCTCTTCCTCAGATACTCGGAGCTCCAGAAGCTGCCACTTCCCAGAGCTACATCCCTGGGCACAGCACCTTTTCCAGCGGCCTGCTGAATCTTTGGGAACACAGGGATCCAAGGTGAGATGTGGTTTTGCAAAGCCCAAACTGGAAATTGCTTTTTGTAGTGGTAGTTCATAGAATTCTAGAACAGCTTGGGTTGGGAGGGACTAAACTCATCCACAAAGTGTTCCTGCCCATGGCAGGGGGTTGGAACTGGATGATCTTCAAGGTCTTCTTCCAAACCAAACCATTCTGTGGTTCCCTGGGGCTCAGCCTGCCAAGGTTGGGATGGGAAGAGGAGACTGTGGTGTTCCCAACTATCACCATCCTATCCTAGCCAGGTGCAGCTTCCACTCCCTCCACAGGGTCTTGTCACAGGCAAGTCCTCTGGCATGGTTGGAGGATCACCTGGGAGCCAGACAACCTGGAAATGTGGCAGAGGCACCTACAGAGGGCAGCAGGTCTACAGGTAATGGATGCTGTGCCCTGATGTCCCCAGGGGAAACACCCTGTGCTAGCACAGAAGAGCCTCAGAGGGTTGTGGTCTCCACCTGGCTGCTCATCTCCATAGATGACTGAGGGACCTGGGAATGAGAGACCTTTTCAGTCTTCACAGAATCATGGAATGGTTTGGGTTGGAAGGGATCTTAAGGATGATCTCGTTCCAAACCCCTGATATGGGTAGGGACACTACCTTCAGTCTTGCTCAGTCATTTAGTCTGGCTCAGCTGGTTTAAAAGATGTCTTTTCCCTTCTGGAATGGTGCAAGATTTCTGAGCAACACATAGGAAATATCCCACTGCAAGGACAAGGCCCTGCACTCATGCATTTGGTCCTGCTCTTCTTCGGGGTGATGCTGAGCATCCAACCCTCACCCTGCTGAAGTGATGCTCCTGCTGGCACTGAGGAACTGCCTTTCCCATGGAAAGGGTTCTCCACCCCTGCCTTCAGACTCTGCTTGGAGTGTGATGCAGATTAATTGCCAGTTACTGGGATATGATAACAAGGAGGAATCGGGCACCTGGGAATGAGGAATAACATGGCAGAGAGTTCTGGAGCTGTTTCAGCATAAAACAGGGAAGCTGAGTTTTGGACCAGATATCCTGCAGGTAGATGAAAGTAGAGCAGGGATGTAAGGGTTCCATGGAAAGACAGTGATATGTAAAAGGCTTCAAGAATAAATATTTCACTGCTACTTGAAATAGTTCTTAACCTTGACCATCCCTGTGAGCCAGTAGGTGTCTGTCCCAGGTTTTTTTCAGAGGTTGCCATTTTGTTTTCCCTTGAATTTCCAAACCAATTGTGTTGTTGGTTTATCCACCAACCCCTCCCACCAAGTAACTTGTGAACCGTCCGGAATTTTAGCTGAGTTTGGTAAAGGAGGAGATGTTTCAAAGATGCAAAGAAGTGGCTGAGCAGTGAGGTGGCTGAGTCTACTACAGGAAAAAGCCTCTTAAACCCCAAAACATCAACAGGAAATCAGGTTTCATAAGTTTCACCACCATGGAATATCGTGATATTCATTGCATTGTGTGTTGCCTGGGGGTGCCTGTGATATTTTCTGTCTGTGTTTCTCCCAGGTGAGTCAACATCAAAGACAAAAGCAAAGGACAACTGAACCTGAAATCCTACTGAAGTCACAGTGGGAATTTTCAGCCCACTTGGGTTTTTTTAATTAGGTAAAATAAATCAATTTGGCGGCTCCAGACCTAACTTAGTGCCTGTATTGAGTTAGTGAGTTATTCCTCCCTCAACTCAAAAAAATTCCCCAGGCCCTGAAGAACTATAAATCATTCCCCCAAAAAATCAAGACCTTTTCCAAAGGTTTTTAGTAGTTTATTTGTAATGACTTTCCTTTGATAAACCTGCTAATCCAATTCTTTGCAGCAATCCATTGAAGTAAAAAGCATTTAAAATCTTAGGACATATTTTTTTCCACCTCTCTACTTTGCTGGAAATAAAAAAAAAAAAAAAAAAAAAAAGGGCCTTCAGTTCCCCTTTCATCCAAAATACTTGTTGTAAATTATTTTCCAGAAGTGTTAGGGAATCAAAAATTCCCCCTCCAGTCTTACTGGATACCCAGTAAGGCTTCACACCAAAACCCACACAATTGGAATGGACTTGAGTAAACACCATCTCCTCAAAATTCAGTTTGAAAATTCTATGATTATTCTCAACTTATTTCCTTGGCTTCACAAGGAAGGGAAAGGTATGAAAATCCCATCACTGATGCCTGCTTTAAGTTGGGGTGAATGAATGATGAAGAGTCAGCTCAGCTTCCCTCTCTTTGTCACCCTGCTCAGTGCCAGAGTCACTTCCTGCTCGCTCCCATGACAAGATGTGGGTAAAATTTTTTGGATTTGTAACTGACTGTCAGAAAAAACCAGTTTCACTTCAACAATTGGTAGCTTGGCAAACTGAATATGGCAAAAAACCACAACCCAGGACAAAAAAAAAAGAAAAGAAAACCAGAAAAAGGATGAATAACTGTTATTTACTTTTCGTTAGGATTTACTTTTGTTTTCATCCCAGCTATTGGATTTTTTTTTATGTCTCTGAATCAAGCTGATCCTTTTGGGGGCATTAAAATAAGCACAACGATTGAAATGTTGCTCGTGAGGTCCCTCTGCTTTGCTGTTTGTTCAGCCTTGTGAACGAGCCACGAAATGTTTGCAACACTCCTGATGTCCACTATTCCAGAGAGATCCATACTTTGGAAATTGTCTCCAGACAACTTCCCTCCTGGCAGAGATCTGTGAGTTGGAGGTTGTTATGTCAGCCAACAATGCTACTTGAAACTGCAGGACCAAGACTGGAGAGTCAAACTTCCCTTACACAAGCTTTTCATCCCTCAGCTCAGCAAAGAGTTGATAAACATCCCACTGCTCAGCCAGTGCCAGGCAGGATCCCTGTTGTCCTGCTTGATGGAGCTTTGGCTGGTTTTGGTCTTTCTCCTTTGGTCTTTCTCCTATCTCAGCGTGGCAGAGGCTCTGTCCAGAATCCAACAGGATCAGTAGGTGACACACATCAGCTTCCTGGCCTTCAGATGAGCTGGTGGGCCTGAAACCCTGCTGATGAGGGTGGAAATAAGAACTAAGGAAGCTTCACGGTATTGCTCGGTAAAAATAAGAAGGATGTGGAGCTGCTGGAGCAATTCCAGAGGAGGCCATGGAGATGCTTCAAGGGCTGGAGCCCCTCTGCTCTGGAGCAAGGCTGGGAGAGCTGGGGGTGTTTACCTGGAGAAGAGAAGGATCCAGGCAGACCTGAGAGCTCCTTCCAGCCCTAAAGAATCTCCAAGAGATCTGGAGAGGGACTTTGGACAAGGGTCTGGAGGGACAGGACAAGGGGGAATGGCTTCCCACTGCCAGAGGGCAGGGATAGATGGGATATTGGGAAGGAATTGTTGACTGTGAGGGTGGTGAGGCCCTGGCACAGGTTACCCAGAGAAGTTGTGGCTGTCCCATCCCTGGAAGTGTCCACGGCCAGGCTGGATGGGGCTTGGAGTGACCTGGGATAGTGGAAGCTGTCCGTGCTTATGATAAGGGGTTGGAACAACATAATCTTCATTTTCCCTTTCAAGCCAAGCCATAGTGTGATGCCCAAAGGCCCTCGGAGATAGAAAACACTGAAACAACCCCATGCAGTGAGAGCTGGGCTGGTCCCTGCCCACAACAGCTCCAGATGAGCACTTGGTACTCAGCACAGGCAAACTTTGTGCAGTGCAGCAAGTGGTTAATTGAACAAAACAGAGGGAAGGCAGATCTCACAAAATCTTACACACAAGTGATAAGGAGATATCAGGATGTGCTGGCAGCTGTCTCCTGTACTCTTTTCCCCCCATGCCCTAAATGGCATCAGCTGTCTTGTGCTTGTTGCAGAAAGGAGGAAGAACACGACCAATCTCTCTAGGTGAGGTTTTAAGCAGAAACGGAACCTCAAATGGAAAGTGAGTGAGGTTACAGCACCGTAACCCTGATGATTACAAAAGGGGAAACTCTTCAGACTAGAACCTGACTGGAGATAAGCTCTCTGAAAGGTTACATGCACGCAATAAATATCCCCACCCCTCCTATTGGCCCAGGCTGCTCTGAGCTGTGAATGGGCCAGTTTAGACAACTCTAGACCCACATTTCTCCTCCCATTTTTAGACCAGCTTTGCACCCTGTGTCTCCAGGGGATGACTTGCAGCTCAGGGCAGCCCTGAATGAGGGTGATTCGGGGCATCATTTGTAGCAGGATAGTATTTTTTATAGCCTGAGGAGCCTTTGTGGGTAACAGCTCGTCTAAGGTAGACACCGTTCTAACTTTAGCACCGTGTGAGCAGTGGGGTTGTTCCACCAGCCCTTCATTGCTATAAGTGTAACAAACCAGTTCAATTTGTCATTCAGCTGCTGTTGACAGGAAACCACCAACAGCAGTCAACGGACGACGCCAAGAAGAATTAGGGTTTCTCTCTCTACGTGCTCTGAGGATTAAAACTCACCAAGAAGAGCTGATGTTCTTAAGCACGCGCCCTGGAAGCGATTTTTTAACTCTGATGGACAGCTAAGATTGAGCAGGATATGATTTAGTCCCAACACAGGGCTCGCCAGGTAAGTGCAAATGATTTTCCAGCAGTTTTGCTTCCTTCCTGCTGCCTGTTTATTGCCCGGTGCTCCATGGGGTGCATCCCCTCGGAGCATTCAGTGATTTGGTCCATCTATGGACTGGTGGTTATTAAGGCCTGAAGGATTGGGGTGGGATGTCCAATGGGCCAAACTGCTGCTGCAGGCTGGTGTATGGTGTTTGTCTGTCTTCCCTTCTGGCAGTGTTGAAATCCCCCCACCTGAGGTGGGACTGATGCTCCAAGTCAGACACTGACCCAGCGGGTCCTCTCTTGGGTGTAGATCGAGCTCTTTCTCTCATAAAAACCATAGGAATAGATGAATGCCCTTTAAATAGCAAGATTCTTCCAGCTACATTCCTTGGAGAGAGAGGGGAGGAAGTGAAATCAGGGTCCAGATTCTGAATTTAGGGGAAGTGGAGGTTTGGTTGCTCAGGCTCCAGCTCACCAACCTTTTCTGAGTTGAACACGTAGGTTCTGCAGACGGTGCAGAGAAGGGTTGAGGTTTTAATTCCTGACACATTTGGGATCTTTGAGGAATCTTTGCTTTCTTTTGCCTCAGAGGTGGCTTGAATGACCTCATTGGAAATAATGTTTTGTTTTCATCAGCTCCTCTATCAGCTACTCAAGCTGGTAAAACTAGTGCAAAGTTAATGCTGGCTGTAGAGAAAGCTTCTGGCAAGCTGGAGATCTCCAATGGAGTTACAGGAAGGGTGGAATTACTGCTTCTCCCCCTGGTCACTTCCCATCCCCACACATGCACGGTCTATGCTAAGTCCATAACTTCGGTTACTGATAAAATTTTAGACCAGACTCAAAACTCAACAGAGCTCTGCATTGTAGCCTGGATATCTCAGAAATGTCCTTGCTTGCTGTGGGAGGGAAGAGCAGTTGCCATTTTGTGGGAGATTTGCATCTCAGACCTCCTCAGGTGCTTTACTCAGGACTTGGTGGCCAGTGATGTCTGGCAAGGCAACGCTCTTCAAGCTGCTTTAGTCACCCCCACTCGTGATTTGAGGGCTTTTCTCACCTTTCTTGCAGGGCTGCTGTGATGTTTAATTGATTATGGATTTTTAAACAGTGCAAAATCAGGCCACGGTGGCAGTGAGGGTTCCTGTTGCATGCAGAGCACACACACACACGGTCCCTGCTCTGCTACGTGCTGGAGATGGAGAGGCCAGATGGAAATGAGGAATAAAAAAAAGACAGCTGCAGGGCAGCCAAGGCACCCTCATTAATATGCTCAGTCAGTCATTCTGTCAAGGTTTAAGTCATTTTTAGCAGAAGATTTGAGGGCTGCAGAGCTTGTGATTTCTTGTCTGAGTTTCTTTTTTTTCCTCCCAGCCCCCCTGCAGCATTGTCATCATAGCGGTACCCAAAAATCAGTTAAAAAAACCCTTCTGGCCCTTTCTTGCTTTATTCTGCCAAAATAGGGCTATTGTTGCAGCTGGAGTGTTGCAAAGTCAAAGGCTGAGTTTTCCGATGAAAGGGGAAAGACTCAAGGCATATTTAAGTGAAAATTTTGCAAAGGTGCTGCTGATTTTTATTCATCTTTATTTCTAATGACTTTCCACGTGTAACTCAATCAGTGTGAGGTGTCCTGGGATGCTGTTATACCCTGAGATGGTGTGCTCCCCATCCCCTCTTAAATCAGCCCACAATATCCCAGGATGAGCATCCCACGTCCACAGAATTTGGGCCGTGGATCCATTTCAAATGGAGCTATCAGCTCCTTTATTTCTGCTTTATGACTTTCTTCCTGATGGACCTTTCAACCTTTAATTCTCCGTGGCACCTTTAAGGGCACATCAGAAGCAAAAAAAAAATTCTTGAGGCCATTTTCAGGAGCAGCCAAGGTTTTTTGTCATCTCAGACTGGTGTGGAAACAGCCATCGTGGATTTCCGGGGGGTCACAGAGCTGTGTTGAGCGGAGTAGGAGCTCTTGGGCACACTGTTACTTCATCATTGTTTGGCTTCCTTCCTTCCTTCTGCTCATTCTTTCCATTCTATGTATCTTAAAAAGGGAGTTTCCTCACTGCCCTTCCACGGTTGACAAGGCTCCGGAGGGCAACCAAGCGTTGGCTCCATGTGGGTGAGTTCCCTTGCAGTCACTCGTGTCCTGCAGGGGTTCCATCACAGGCAAGAGTCTTGCAAGACCCCTAGGGCTAAATCCTGCTGGAACCTTTTCCAGCCCCGAAATTTCCACCCACGTCTTCATTTCACGTGGTCCAAGACAGATTTCTCGTTAGGTCGACACCACATCGCAAGATTCGAAGTAGCTGATGGGGATATGAAAAAAGGATGCAATTCCCCTTGGCAGAGGTCTTGGCTAAAGAATTACAGCCTCAGGGCCCTGAGGCTCCCTGTGGAAGTTGTTGCACCACTGGACATCACTGTGGAGCTCTAAAGAAAAGGACATCAATGTACAAAACAGGCTACACAGGGTCATGGCTATTGCTTAAAAATAAATGCCAAGGACCAACGTACACCATAGGAATGTAAACCAGGACTCCAGGATTTCATGCTGGACAAGCCATTTGCTTCTCACAGGTCAGCCAAAAAAATCTTCTACCTCCCCCAAAAACCAAACTCAAACCGCAGCAGCTCCTTGTGTTGAAATAAAAGCCAAGTTTTCAATTATGATTTTTTCCAAGAAAGAGTTGCAGCTGAGTGGGAGAACAATGTTTCTGTGGGTTTATGGAGCAATTTTGTCTTTGTTAATGTTGGTCAGTTTTAATTCAAAAAACATTGTGGGCTTGCCTATTCAAACTTCCAAACCCAGCTATAAGTGCCTGAAGGAGAGGGGCAAGGCTGAGTAAAGGTGTGGGAAGTGTGAGGAATTATTGCAAGAAGTAATGCTGTTTCATTTGCTGGAGCCACAGCAAAGAGGGAGGGAATAAGTTTGTTGTCCACCATGGAATCATGGAAGGTTTGGCTTGGAAGGGACCTTAAAGATCATCATGTTCCAACCCCCCTGCCACGGGCAGGGACACTTTCCACTGGATCAGGTTGTTCCAAGCCATGTCCTGCCTGGACTTGGACACTTCCAGGGATGGGGCAGCCACATGGGCAGCAGTCATAGGTCTTTCAGGGAAGGAAATTAGTGCTGATCATCAGGAAGTCATTTTAAGGCTATGGGAATCGGAGGGCTGGGATACGCTGGTGGGGAGCAGTGGGAATTTCCATCCCTGAAAGCCTTGAAGTGCAAGTTAGGAGGTGTCTCAGAAGCAACGTAGATCCACCAGACTAGTGACTGTCTTGGGGCCAGTCCGACATTTCTGCTGCCCTGTGACATGCATGTGGCTTCTTTTCAAAATGATTTTTTCAATGATTCTCCTGCATTTAGCCCCTATTTATTTATTTATTTACATATTTATGAAATTATTTTCCAAATTTACCCGAATCTCCCTGATCATTTCTGCTCCTCTGGAAACTGTGATACGTGTTACTGATCAAAGAGCAGCGAGCAGGACCCCTGCGGTGTCAGGAGGCAGAGCAGAAATAATAAACACATGGCTTACAAGTGAATCTTTTGCTACCTAATGAGGGGAGAAGAGTGAAAAATTGCTCAGGTGTCCAGGATGTCTGGTCTGCCTTAGTGACAGTGGAATAGGCAATGACTTTGGTGGATGAAGGTTGTTAGAAAAACTCTTTGTCCCTTGATAAAGGGACTTTACAGTCAAGAGGCAAAAGAGATGATTGGCCCCCATGCCCTGGTCTCCAGAGTCCAAATTTACTACATGATGGTGTTTCCTTGTACATAGAAGGTCCCTCTTCTCCGTGAAACCTGGGGTGGGAAGGAAAAACCTTGACAAAATATTGTGAGCAGAGGAGCTGCAGGACTTCTTTCAGCCTGGAGAGTTGTTTGGCCGACACCTGAGCCGTGATGGCACCCAGGGTCATCTGAATGACTTGGAGCCACGAAATTCGAGGCAGGACATCTCAAAATATGTCAATGGGAGGACGATGCTTGAGAAGTGGGCTCTGAGTAGAGGTTAAATTTGACCTGTGGAAAAATCAAGACGTCGCCCGCGATACGTGATGGAAAGAGGGGGTACTAAGAAGGTAGAGACATTGATATAAAAACTTTAAATTGACTTCTATCTCAGGATTTTTTCCTGGCTGCCTCTCACATGTTTGGCCTTGACCATTTTAGAAGCAGAGGGTGAAGACCACAGCTGCTCGAGACATTAATGCAGCAAACTTGCACGATTATTATTCTATTTTTCCAGTGAAAGATGCCAATATTCAGGGTGTTTTTGTGACAGAACCTTCTCAAAGGTGATGATTACCCATGGAATGCTTTTTTCCCCCGGAAATTTCGGTGGAAAAGTGGGAAAAAAACAGCTCTGTGTAAAAGTCACCGGGTGGGCTGCCAAGGAATAATAACTGTGCATGGAAGGGATTTGTGAATGTGGGACTGTGTACAGGAGAGGTCTCAGCCAGGTGGGAAGAAATTCTGGCTGTCTAAGTGCAGGAGACACTGAAAAAGGGAGAAACTTTAGGAAATAAGATTTCATCTGTCTCTGCTGCAATAAATTTAGACCAGATCAAATATAAGGTAACCTAAGAGTGGGTCAGCCTCCTTAGAACAACTTGTGCAGCAGACCTGGCTACAGAGTTTGACCTTGTTCTACCACATTTTTGTCTCCTTTGAGTGCTGTAGGAATGTTTGAATATTATTTTAATTCTGAAAACGGAGCTAATCTTCCAATTTACGATAAGGAATTAAAATAATGAGTATTTCCCTTCTTTACTAACATCAAAAAGGAAATAATGTTGAGATAAGGTCTTGGCTGCTGCAAGTAGCCAAGAATAGGCATCTTGTGAGCACTGCAGAAGAAGCCTGGCAGGGAGGGCTGGTGTGGGCTGGAGACAAGAATCAGCATCATCATGTCCAGCACGGGCAGAGTTCTGGGGGCAAGGACCACGTGCTCCTCCAAGAGGGTTTTGTGAGGGCTGATCACACCTTGGGATGTGTGAGGGATG